AATCTCGATCCAGTTACATGTATCGGTACTTGTCCTGAAGAAGATCCTGAATACGCAGTAATACTTCCAAACGACGACTGCAAGAAATTCTGTATGTGTAGCGGCGGCGTGGCGTGGGTACAGTCGTGTCCCGAACCGCTTTACTTTGATTCCGTAGATAACGTTTGCAAACGAAAGAACAAAGCCCGTTGCGCGAAACGCCCGTTTAATTAAGATCACACGTTTTCACGGTTGATGACAAATGATGGTCAATGAAGATGAATCTGTGGCCCCTCCGAGCGAGGAACACGACGGCAAACAGTCATTTGAAGTTTTATTTCAGTTTCAATTTTTATTTAATTATTCGAAATTCTGTAAATTACTTATAAATCGCTATGTTCACTTTTCTTGTAATTTAGCGCTCAATAATGTGATAATAGGGAGTTTTTGCAATACCGTCTTTCAGATACGGTAATCGTATCTGAATTGTTCAGATACATTACTATGTATCTGAACAATTGAGATACGGTTACCGTATCTGAAAGACGGTATTGCAAAAACTTCCTAATATTAAATGTTGAATCAATTCTAATAGAAAATGTCGTTTTTCTGAGATGTAATTGTTCGTCAATAAATTATTTTTTTATAGAACCATTATAGAATAATTTAACAGTGCCGCCATAATATATTATAACTTATAATTACTGAAAGCTATTGTGTTCACTTTTTAATTAATACTGCTATAGGTATATATAATAAATTAATGAGTTATAATTTTCCGTTATTTCTCCTTTATACATCGGTCAAATTATAGTCTGTTAAAATAAATTTAAGTCCAATTCATCTTTATTATATAGCTTAAGTATCGTAAAGAATTTTTATGCACAAGTTAAATTTAAATTTATGCAAGGTTAAATACGATTATAAATGTGGTACATCGATTCATATTATATAATTTATATAATTTGAAGCATTATCTCAGGCATTAGTTTTAAATTTAAACGTTTCCAAGTACCTTGACGAGAAATTGTAATACATCGCCTTGACATCGCTCTTTGTTATCTTCAAGCATATTCTCATCTTTATCTATATATCGATGAGATATTCGTTAAATTAAACTCTAAAGAGAAGAAAACAAAACTTGACATCGACAAGCGTTATGATTAGTTGGGACGATAGAGAACTTCGTGTTATACCAGTGTCAAGAGGAAATTAATCTCGATATTAGGAAAGGGAGGAGGACGTGACATGTTTATTGTACATCGTTGTAATAATTGCTGATTATATCCGGAAGAGAGACGGATCGTGTAGCGTCGTACGACGTATACTCGTCGGTGTCCGAACTCGGAAAGTCGCGGAGCAGGACTTGCTCTGTGTTCTGCCTGACGTTTTCTTGCCTTTGCTGTTGCCTCTGCGCATCCTGAATCATCTTTAAAGTCTTCCAAGTGGCGTCCAGTTCCATCACCGGCGCAGCATCACTTCGTTTGCCATGCCTACGCGTGATTGTCGGTATTCTTAATTTCTATACTACGTGGTGATTCTGTTTTCATAATTACGTACACAGTCAGATTATCTTTATGTCACTTCTTTTACGTTTCAAAAGAATTTTTTATTATTAGCTATTTATTGAGGCCACTAGTGTGTTTCGCACATGTATATATATATTCCTTTATCATAATTGCAAGTAATAATTATCGGTTATTTATTCCGTGCGAAACTTGCTTTAATTTAAGATATTTATGAAACTTATGTATTACCATGCATACATATCGTGTACTGATTTATATAGCTACATTTGAAGCAACTTTATCATCCACTGATTTATAACATGAAAGATAGGTATCAAAGGCTCGTAATTACCTCGCTTTCCCGAACGTGGAATAATAATTTCTAACATAATCGGTGTATCTCTTTAGCTGATCGTCTGAGCCGATATCCTCCGATCTGGTCAATCTAGCCGTCGGCTCGGCACAAGCAATCGTCATTCCGATAACGGCGACAACGGACAAGCACCAGAAGAAACGAACCAGATTCATCCGTGTCCGCATTTCGAACAGTTTCAAGTAGTAGTCTCAGTTGCTGCAACTGATATGGCGAAACTTGTACGCAAAAAGATGAGCTGGAAGACGTGGCTTTGAAATTGACGTGTACGATCGTAAACCCACGCCCACGGTAGAGCGATGAATCGTTTTTTCCTTTCCTCGCCGCGGCGAAATTTTCCGTTTTACCCGCGATGAACATCAAAGGAATACAATCGAAAGTTTCTTCGCGCGTAATACACTTCCGAGAGTTGCAAAAAAACTGGGGATTATCAAGCACTGCAAAGCTTTCTTGCGGGCTCGCTTCGACACGATCGCTTTGTAAGAAAGACGCGACGAAGTTCCTCGATAATTAACGTGCAAAATTAACGCATACCCCCGGTTCTCTCAATCAGTCGGAGAATTCTTTGAGAAATGTTATGAAATGCTCTGTTCCTCAAGAATGCCGTGCAAAACAGTTGTTATACCATAAGATATATTTTTTTATGTTTTTTTAATACAGAATTTTATACAGAAACTTTTTTCTTTTCGTAAATTCCTTCTATTTTAAACCCAAATTGCTTTACCACAATTTTAATCTTTGAAACAAGATGGAATTATTTAAACTGTGAATGAGTGAATTATTTAGGCAAAGAACAGGACACGGTATTAATTTTAATTTGCTTATGAAATCGACTCGATGAGTGACAGGCTGGCGCAAACCGTCGGAATAAATTCGTAAAGAGATAAACCTGCCACGAACGCGAATAAGGGAGGAAAAGGGGAGTCGCGAGGCAATTTCACTGAATATGTAAAATTCATTGCGTCGCATTCTAATGAATACGATTATACTATATACGAATACTACGACCGATTACAGCGATAACGAACCTATCGAATCAATCATGAAATTCGATTTTCCGGCATGTCCTTTTGTTAAATGGCACGTTCTTCACGTTGACTGATTACCGCACGATAAAATGTTTTTACTCACGGCGCCATACACGACGAAACACTTGTGTTTCAATTAACAAGGTCAACTGGCTGTCCAGTCATGTTAGCCGGTTCAATATATGTACGATAAAATTTTTATTTGTTATAAATCATACTTTTGTTTTTGAAGAAGCAAGTTTTATATTTCTAGCACGTTCCTAATATATTCTTAGCCCTAGAACAATACCATGTGACACAGATTTTCTATTTTCTCTACACGTATCATCGCATAAAAATATGCTGTGTATTTGTGTAATTTCAAGATTAATCATGAATAAGTCGTTATATAAAAAATGTTGAATATATTACAAAATTATGAAAAAATGCCTGTTTTCGTTCGTCAGTAACTTAATTGCAGCAAAGCAATATTAATTAATGATGTATCTATTTAAAGTTTTAAACTGCGTTAGCTTAAATATAATTGTAATTTTAGGAAGATTGCAATATATCAGTAATTTAAAAATTATACCGTATGTCACTAAGAGATAGAAATAGCAACTCTGCGATAAATTGTTCTCCACAGCAAAAAAAATCTGTATTATTCTAGTATTAAAGTATGACTATTTTGTAATTAAAGTTCACCAATACATAGACAAAAATATTAATAGAATATATATGAACAATCAAAAATGGATCTATAATATATCATATCCTGTCAGACTACTTCAACAAGTTACAGAGTTACAACAGAGTTACAGAAGACTCACCGATTAGCAAATAAATCGTCGTAGCGATTTATATAATTGTGTATATGGGTCAGATAGTAAATCGAGCGAGGAGGCCAAATATCACACCTGAAGGAAGTCAACGCTCAACTCACTAACACCTTACAATTTCTTTCTCACTCTCGCGATACCTTAGTGTATCTCCTGGACATACCAGCGAACGTTTCAGTAGTTCGGATCGGCCGCTGCGCCGCCGACAAGAGTATATATACCTGCGAAAATACCCTCTTACGCATCCCCTCGACTATAAACCGCAACCAATCCTCGAGATCCAACCCCACTACCCGTCATCCTATCCTTTGCTCATATAGCACGTCACCGACGAGGATCAAGGAATTCGAGAACGATGTAGAATTATACATGTGAATAGAATAATATATGAATATAAGATTAAATAGAATTATTAAACAGAAGCATGATTATGTAAAATTAACGCAATAAATTTTAAAATTACTGTTTCAGCATTTTTTATATGAAGAATATCAATCATTTATTTGACACGATTCAACCTATTAATATTAATATCTAATTGTTACTTCCTAATTAAAATACGCGTAAAATTTAATATTATTAATCGGCTCATACCTCTTAACGAAACATTACGATAATTATTTTAGTTCGAAAATTTGGTTAGTCGATGCCTTTTTAAACAGTTGCGATCACAACCGAAAATATGACGATGAATACTCACTGTGTGACGGTTCTACAGGTAAAGACTTACCTGGTGCAGGTAAATCGTAGAGAAATATAAGTATATATAGGCCATGACGGACATAATGTTTATTTACTTTACTAAATTATTTTGCTATTTACAAAAATTAATTAAAAAAACTTTTAATATAAAGTACAGCCAATATTATATCATTTTAAATTATATTACGGATTGATATTTAATTTGTATTTAGTATTCACTTTTCACTTTTATGATATATATTGTTACTTATAACAATACCTAATTTAAATAGTCATTGTATCAATGTAAAAAAATATCACGCCTTTTTCATCATTTTGAACATTTTTCTTAAATATATATCTTTCTTTCTCAGTTAATAAATATCATTATAAGGTAACAATGAATGAAAAGAGTAGAGCCAGAAAAAGATGGAGGATGCATATTATAGATCTTATAAGAAAATATAAGAACCGTATAATCTGTAATAATGCTAAAGTTATTTGGAAAAGATCGCAATCGAGACAACTGAATTTGGTCAAACAGAAGGCACTTGATAAGAAAACTTTTCTCTGTAGAAAAATTAAATAGATTTTTCTCTGATTCTTCACCCATGACTTTCACGCATCCACCATCTATTTTGGTAAGAAAATTTACGACGACATCAAATTTTAGGAACAATGTTTCTTCGCAGGACACTGCAAAAGCTCTGCGAAGAAATAAGTCTGCCGCGATTGGCTGCAAAGAACTTCCGCATGATCTTCTGAAAGTCCTGCTAGTCTTGCAAAATTGCAAATACAATTTCTGTGCAATTATTGGAATATATATATATATATATATATATATATATATATATATATATATTGTATTAAAATCCCTAGTCCAGATTCTGAAGTATTTCAAGCTTCGACAGCCAGGTTTTAACCGTATTGTTATTCCAATTATCGCATTGCTGTCCAAAATTGCGAAGGATCACTGCTTGTCTTCGTTAAAGCATGATCCTGCCTCGTTTATATGATCAAATCGCGCTCGCAGAAAAACATCGCTATCTCCCAATGAACATCACAAATTCGAGGAGCGATCGATCGGGAAAGAAAAGTAAAAAAAATTAGAAAAAATAAAAGAACTGACATAAAGGAGACACCATCGACGAAGTACGAGCGACCATCCGTCGCCGACCTGCGAACAGCGACAACGAGGTCGTAGTGGGGAAGACGGGAGAAGCAGCCAAGGGTGAGGGAATAACACACGAGCAGGAGAGGAAGCTAACTACAGTGATGATGCTAAAGTCTCAGTGGTGGTGGTAATGCTGGCGGCAAGAGGGAAGTGAGGGAACCTCTGCAACAGGTAGAAGGAAGAGGGGTCGAGAAAAAGGAGCAGGTCGGGACGTCCCGGGCGCGCGAGGGAGACGAAGAAGAACGTAGGAGAGAACGGTCATTGCCACCACCTCACCTCGAGAAGTGCCCGAACGCTAGAGTCCCCGTCGGCACGAAAAGCACCGGCCCCGACACGGCCTACCATCCATGGCTGTCCCGCAGTTTAGCTTGCCGTCGTGTTTGTACCTACTCGGCTTTACCTCCTACTTGTGGGGGGGCTAACTTCTCTCTCTCACGAGGACGCGAATGAGCGCGCGCGCTCGGCCGATGCGTGTCGTCGTGGCCTGCCGATTCTTCGTGCAGGGGGAGCGAGCCTGCGAACGAGCACCTGGATCGGGGGATCGGTTGATCCAGAAGTCGTGAACCGAGCAAAACCAGTTCGATAGGTGCCAGCCGTGGCGAACAGGTCGAGCCGGCGGCTGCCAGTCCGAGTATACCTCCGAGAGGTATCCTCCTCTTCCCCATCCGAGGGTTTCCGTCGCGAACCTGTCTGTCGCACGCGACGTATGATATCTCGTGCCTGCCGAGTGGGTGTCCCAAGGTCGGTCGAAGGGCGTTCTTCGAAGCTCGTGAAGGTCGCAGGGTCACAGATGAGACGGGGAGGCGCCGGGCGCGGGAGACACCACTCGACAGGCTTCGACCACGTGGCCGCAGCTGTTCACCGGGGATTCGCGATCGAGGGTGCGAGATCTGGGTCTGACTGACGCCAGGTGATCCAGGTGATCCAGGTGATCTCGTGAAACGCGTAGAATCTAATTCAACGATCACATCATCAAGAAGAGATGATGCATCGCCGTGCGGTCTGACAACTTGAAGGAGTTTTGTAGCAACGTCTCATCAGAAGCAGAAGGAACAGCGGCGGTCTGTCGAGCGGTGTCAGTCAAGGTATGCTTACGGCTCTGTCTCAAGGTCCCGAGATGTGAAGAAGCATCATAATTTCTTGCGCGAGTGACCTTCGTTGAGATTACAACGGTCGATGGTCGATGGTATCGTTTTTTGTCGGAAAGCAACGCACCTTCGCGGATAATTCAGGATAATTAAATTGATTTGATCGCGCGACTGACGGTTCCTGCGCTGCCGCGGGATTCTTAGTCACGATGGGTACTGAACTTGGCCGAACAGGTGATTTCCTCTGCGGTCTCTCGTCCTTGATCCTCGGAGTCGGCACCGGGGCGATTAATGCTTTTTATCGTTTCTGCGGTCGGATGATTATTGGTGGATAACTATTGATAGATCGACGTTTAATTCCTCTCGAACGAAGAATGTATCATTCTTACGGTATTTTTCTGATATTTTGCAACATTTAATAGACTCTGGCTAAAAAAGTTATTGATATCTCCAATTGTTTCGAAATACGACTCCGAATCGATCAATGAATTTATATACGAATCAAATGATAACAGTTACTGATGATATGTAACAATATTTACGGAACAAATTTAATCATTTACTTTTTTATTTACATAGCTAGTTATTTACTACTGTACTTGTTCTCATAAAAAATAACCCGCCTTGAAGATAGGTCGGCTACGTTGATTGTATAAATAAATCCCCTTTAATACAAAATTAAATAAGAAAGAAACGGAAGTACAAAGACCACGCAAACCACACTTGGTTAAGCTTAAGCCAAGCAAAACATATGAACAACAGACCACGGTAGCTGCACTTTAGCACACACCAATATTATCCGCTTGATGAACACGGTTTATTGCGAATAATCAATCCAGGGGTTTATGTGTGTATACGGCTGCGGTATGTATCGACGAGCGGGACATATTGCAAATCCGTTGTCGAAGTTAGCCGCATGTTCCTTAGAATAGCGGTATATTAGCTCGTTTCAGCTGAATTTCATTCGTACGTGGCCGGGCACGCGCGTGTGCGCGCGTATATGTGTAAACTAATGTCTGCCTCGATTTTACGCAGCTTCATGCATAATTCACGAGGATTTACCTGAGAAAATTCCGGTATTCCTCAAGTAAATCTGTTTATTTTGACGAGATAGTCGTTAAATGCTTTTTTAAGACGAATTATCGCTGATATTTAATACGCGTTATTGTTTTTCGCGGAATATCTATAACATAAATCCGTCGAAAGACGATGCGAAGAAGGATTTACAGATTAAATATCGAAGTAACAGTTTCCTCTTAATTGGTCCCATGTGGAATTTCGATTAAGATTCGGATAGCGGATTTACAAGTACAGTCAAGTGGTTTCGTAACGTTCTTGAATAATTTTCACGGATGCCAGCCGTGGATTTCACGGAAGGATACCGGCGTCGTTTGAACTCTCTGGTTTTATACGTACACTCTACATCTTATATGCTCGTAAATATATTATATCCATTGAAAAGAAATCATTTAATGCGGAGCGGCTCTCGCAGCGCGTATAGAATTGTGACTTATGGTTTTATTTTCGCGTAGAATGTATCTCGGCGTCAACCCACATGTGCGCCTCGCACACATTTAGATACGTGAGTACAAATGAAAGTGGCAGGTACCGTTACCGCGCGAGTGCTATGTTACGACAAAAGCTTTTTCTACACGCGTATACGCCACGCACGTGCGTTCTCGTCGCTTTCGTCCGCCAATTAAGATAGGCCACCGGCGGATGTGCAATTTTTTTCTTGCGCCAAGGAGAGCATCAATTCCGTAAATATCTAAAAGTATAATTAATAATGTAAAAAAGAATATTTAGACTCATGTGATGAGGTACTGTATATCCTAAAAGTTACGGTAAAAGTAAAAATGGAAACCAAAGGGATAAAAGTAATAATATTCGATACTTTACATTATATTACAAATGTTACCATAAAATCGCAAAAATTATTAAATTGAGTCTATTTTTTTAAATAATCCCTTGTCTTGTAAAATATAATTATGTGCATGTTATGACTTTCGACAAAGCAAATTATTTAACTTAGAAGGAGAAAGTCCACACACATTTAACAATCAAGCATTATTCAACGAATCAATTGAAACTCGTCTAGCATTATGTCGAATTATGTAGGCTTTGTTCTAGTCAATTAGCACGGGCATCGTGTACTCAGACTTCGAGTGAAGAAAAGCCGCATTTCCACTAATTAGAAATGCGTCGACCACAAGGTATAAACCGTTGTCGAGTCGTCGAGTATTTTAAAAACCGAGTGAGAGGATCAGTGACCTAACCACTGAGCCACAAGCCAACTCACGTCGACATTTATTTGTTACTTTATCCACCCAAATTCCTGCCTGTAAATAACTGTAACGGTTTTTATTATTTCCTCTCTCTTTCTCTCAAGATGTGGCGAACTGTACACTGGATGAAGTCACTGCATTTTCTCTTGCCAGCGATAGACCGGTGATTCTATATAAAAATGCTCGATCCTGAATACGATTGAGCAATCGTTTTCTATAATTAAATTCTGTAATTTCTCGTCACCACAATAAGATTTATAGAATATTACATTCTATAAAATTATTTATAAGTGTAATTACATTATATCTAGTGAGAGTATTGAATAAAAAAAATATAAAATATAAGTACAAAATATGTTAAATATAAAAAAAATATATAAATACGCGTTGGAGTTTTTTCTCGCAGAATATAAAAATTTTTTGAATATTTAAGAATATATAAATAAATTAAATTATAGATATAACAGCGATTTTTTAGAAAATTAAGCTCGTTAAATTCATAATTATAAATTATGTAATAATAATCCGTTGTAAATAATACGGTCAATCGATTTCAATGTATAAAGGAATACACGCGCAAATTGATTTGTTCATCGACAGATGATCGCCGTTCACTGTTACGTGATTCGAGCTCGGCGAAGTATAACGTTACATCCAAATTCCTGCCTCCGAATAACTGTAACCCGGCTCTCGCCGATTGCACGACTACGTTTATCAAATAACCATATAGCTGATGACTTTGTAAATGATTAATATCCTGAGATGACAGCCAAGAAGAGGAAGATGCGAAATCCTAGGATTTAGAGATTGAAAACGAAATCTCGATGTCGATCTCGTGATCCAGAAACGAATCACCTGAAGAATACTTTTTCCGATAGATCGGAAAAATGTTTTCTTCTTCTGTTTCTTCTGTTTGTTGATGACAGACTTGCCGAATGCATTTCCGAAACAAATATTTTTCGCAATTCGGTCATTGACCGAACCGGCATCTCTCATTAAGTCTAAAATGTGTAAAAATTAAGCAACACTGTCTCGTGCCATTTGGAAATTATTAAACTTTATTGTGCAGCTTACAATCAGTTATTTTACCGAATTTTTTTTTCTACTAGCATTCTGGACGATTGAACAAATCTTATCTAATTATAAAAAGATCAAACAATGTGACAATTAATCGTGCTCCATGAAATAACTATTTATTTTCAATTTAACTCTCAATCAGATTCGGAAAATCTGTTGGACACATATAGCTACTCACATTTCAAATGTGTTACGCGGATAAACAAAAACATGAATCCTGAACTAATTAAATCCAGATATAATTTCACGCGCGATGAGCAATTGGTTCCGCCTTATCATTTATTCGTTAACAGTTTTTACAACTCTGAGGATAGTAACAGAATGTGAATGTGCCGTTACTGAGGAAATCGTGTTTAATAATCAATTAATCACAATTAATTACATAACGTTCGTGTTTAGTTCTGCATCATGAAACCATTTTACTTGGTATGCTTGGCGCCTGCGATATGCACCTGCAGTTTAACGTGTTTCCGTTTGTTTGCTCTATTTCTTGTGAAAGACAGATATGTTGCACCCCTGTGTAACGAGACGATTTGTCGAGTGTTTGAATATCACTCTGACATCGAGGGCATTAATCCACACCGAAATTATCGCCGTAATTATAAGTGATGTAAATGATACGCCGGTCGAAAGTGGTTCGTCTAAGCAGCATCCGGTGGCGAATTGAAACGAGCCGTCTGCGAGTCGCTATGAGAATGAGCGTTAAAGCGTAGTCATGAGCGTAGTCATACTGACGTCTCGCTATAATCAAATGCAATTACATCATGTAATTACGTCCAGACGGAGAGTCAGTTCTTCACCCCGTCCGTTCTTCGTGAGAATCTTCCCAGATTTATCGTCGTGCCGCGAATGTCACGGTCACGGCATTGTCTGAATTGCACATAAACGGGTCTGCTTTGCAAGTTTTGGGGGGATGAATCATTAATTATGTTCGTCAAAGATAAAGATCAAATCATTGAAATAAGGAATTATAATCTTGTGGATTACCTTACTTTATTTTATTGTTCTTGCTACTTCACGAAATAGCAATGCAATAACCGATAACACGAAAGAGAGATGCAAATAGCGATAATAAAGATGTCAGAAGAAAAAGATTAGCCTTTCTAAAAATAAAATCTAATTTCTTCCGGTTTTTCGTCTGTGTTTCAGATGTGCGACCGGCGGAAACAGGCCTGGGCCGCCGTTATCATTGGCAACGTGTTGATCTACACCGTTGTTATTGCCAGCCCGATCTATGTTCCTCAATTTCAACCAGGAAGTAAGTACTTTAGATCGCTCTATTATTCGCGGGAAGGATATCAATAGTTTTCTTCCAGATAGCATCGGTGCAGTTGGGAAAGTTTCTCTGTAATACACGGTGTCTAATAATCGTAATTCGCTGATTAAGTTGCCGTTACGTCGTCTTACGGAAATTGCATGGTACCTCCAGCGTGTCGACCTCCGATTATGAGTAGCTTTAATTATGAGTAGCTATATAATCGGGAACGTAACCGAATTAATCGACCAAAATAATCTCGCCGCGTTCTTTCAAAATTATGCTTCTTATATCTAATCATCGATTGCAGGCGATATTAGACAGTTTAAAGTTGCTAATCCATATTGTCGGCAATTTGCTTACATCGATATTTTGAGATACAAATTTACGTCGCTAATATCTTTTTATATCATATTTTCGAACAAAAATCTCACTCAACGTAAGCATTGCAAACCGCAGTGTTTATCGGTTTTAATTTGAAAAAAATTGTCTTGCATTTGTTTGGGAATTTCTTATAACATAAAGAAATTATTTTCTATCAACATTTCTAACAGTTTTTCTAGAATTGCAATGCAAACATTTAACAACTTAAAACATCGATCTAGTTGTGACAGGAATCTTAAGTCGATTCCTACAGACCGGCGACATATCTCTGCTCGTCCCGCTGGCTCTTTCACGCTCGTTGCATTTTCCCCGTGTGTCAGCTGAGTAACGGATCGGTACACAAATACCAGTAACCGGCACAGCGAGGTCCGATCTATGCGTGTGCGTAAGCGTTTGCTCTCCGTCGTACAGCGGCATTGAACCTATCTTGAATTCGTGTTCGAACGGAACGTGGGCGGACTGGTCAGTTTTCTGTAGAAGTGGGTCAACCACGGTCATCGAGCCGCGTGACTTACACTACTTACAGTGATTTTTCCGTACCCGTCACCTGCCGATTCCGTCGATTTTCGCGTGATCGTTCCCATTGGGCGGCAGGAATTCGCAAGATAACCCGATCATTGTCTTCCATACTTTATTGCTTCCAATTAAAGCACGCATACGCATTACAATCAACTCTTATATAAACTTAATTTTACAACGTCATTTTTGCAGCTGCGATAATGCAATTGCATGACAATTGTATGACGGTGATATGGATCACTTTCACAACGACCGAATCTTCGTTCTGCGACACTTCCGTGTGATGTCTGTCGCGATCAGATAAAACACTTTCCTACAATGAGCTATGCCGCGAGTGAAATTCTTTGCGCTCGATTGTGTAGGCGTGCACGCGCACGCACACACGCTTACGCACTGCCGTATGGCGTGGTACCGCTTGAAATTCCGCCAGCTATACAAAAGCGTCGCCAACTTTCTTTCATGTGCTGGTGACTAACTAACGCGTCACTTCCGCCAGCATACATTTTCTACGCGCGGAAAGGTGACTTGGGCGCGCAGGACTTTTTGGACGAGCGAGACTGACCGACTGACCCGGTAGCGTCAGCGCCTGGGACCGCAAACAATTTTACGGTTGATTTTCACTAGCCACAAAACGTCCGTCAACCCGACAGGCCGGCAAAAGAAAGTAAACAGTCGCGGAAAAACCATGACGCTTTAACGACCCGTCGTAGTTTGGAGTACGGAAACTACGGTCAGTCTGGTTGTAACTGTCAACCTTGCTACCGCTGATTAATTCGCGCGTTGCCCGATTTGCCGAATTAAAATAAAGCGCAAACCTCAATCAGACATTTAATTTCGTGATGGACATCTCGAATTTCTATTTTATATCATAACTCTCTATCTTAATTCTCCCTCCGCAGTCTCGTCTAAACTCAACGTACGTAGCGCGCTATTTGACAACGTGAAGGCTCGCGTTCATCATGTTAAGTGATCTGTCACTTTCTTTGGCGCGATATACACAGAGTATACCGGGAATACGCAGGTTTTCCATGTTTATACCGAGAACGCGCCTGGTCCATCCAAGCATCTCGGGTCAAGTATGCCCGTTTAATCATACCAAGCCGGAGCACCCTGGAATGTACATGGCGATTTCGTTGGGCCAAAGACCTCGGGGAGAAAGAGAAAGAGTAAGAGAGAAAGAGAGAGAAAAAAAAAGAGAAAGAGAGAAAAGAGGGAGAAAAAGAGAGAGAAAAAAAGTCAGAGGCAGAGCAAGAGATTGTGAGGTGTCTTAGAGGGAAACGGGCTGTTACATTAGGCTATGACTGTGACCCACTTTTGGGTCGGGCAACTAGCTCATACATTGAAACTTAACGGTACCGAGATGCTTCGCCTCGCCTGACATCAATTCGTTCCCCGATATAATGCGGCATGCCCCGTACACGCATTAGCGTTTTACAATCAATCGTTGATATAAAATCGTGATTGCGAGAGAATCCAAGTTGGAGGCCATTCCCAATGAAATTTACGATCCCGTCAGGATTTTTAAGAGTCAAAGACGGCGTTAGTTGCACGCAAATTGCGCGCTAAGACATTTTCCTTCTTCGGCTTTCGCTTGAATCATACTGATGAACTTTACACGTTTTACCTCATTCTTTGAGAAATTGGTTCAATTAAGTCATTACTACAATGTTACTACTATTCTTTGCAATCTTGATACAACGATATTATCTATTTTTATCTGAAAATTCACGTGTTATTTCGGAGCGAAGAGCAAGATTCTTTATCTTCCTCTGACACGCGCTGCTCTTTTGTGGCTAACTGTATCGCACGACCGTATGAATCATTGTCAAAGCAGACTTCTGTCATTCCGTTATACGCCTCTGATATTCTCGACTTTTTAAATTTGACGTGACAGCTGTTTGTTTATCCACTTTCCGTTCGGTCGACGCACAATGCACTAAAGACCCAGAAAAGATTCCTGTTATCCGATTAATGCACATGATCTTTAATTTTTTACCGAAGGCAACAACTGTTTTAAGATCCGATACATTCAACAGATGATATTGGTAAACTTATAACGAGTTCGATAAATATTGTCAACAAGCTAATAACTTCTGTATTAATATATCACAGTTATCACTTTACTCGTCCGTTTGACATTGTCGCTTGTCATGATCTCGCCGCACCAGAGCTATCCATCATACTTTCAATGTATTTTCTTTTCGTGATTCAGTTTCGCAATTATGCGCCGTTTACGCTGTCCTGCGTATCCCATCACCCATGGTTTATAGGGATCGCAGTTGAACGGTCGGCAAGATCATTATAGGAGAGAATTATAAGCAGATACGTCGACGATACGAGAGCGAAGTGTTACGGGCGGGAATGTGGAACGTACATCGTGAATAAACAGTTATAGACACCGGGTGAAGGTTGATATACACTTCGGAGGAGATCAGAGAACACGGAAGCGTTTATCTAACCACCGTTGACGACCATTCAAGGGGGAAAGGGGGAATTCCATCTCGAGGCATCACTTCGCAACGTTTTATTTCACGGGAGTTTTTCTCCTCGCGGTAAAGGAGTCTTTACTTTCGCATTAACGTGTGAGATAATCTCCCGAATGGAAGAATCCTGTCTATCGCATGAGAGAATCGCGTATCGTCATGAGGTATCGCGACGGCAAGTTCCGGCGAATTATCTTTACGAGGCATTAGATGAGAGAGAAGAATATTGTGTAAAAAGATATTAATACAATTTCTAACACATAAATCAAGAATTAAGTGCCGGTGGCGTTGCAGAAACAACGTCAACATATAAGAAAATAATATAAATAACATTTTTTAAGCGACGTGTTTAAAATAAAAAAAGACGTTCAGGTTTTGGTCGGAAATCGACTTGTCACTGATAAATGTAATGACGGCTGTTCCTTCGTTCTTGCAGGCACGGGAAGAAACATCAGACACTTGCCCTGCGTGTCACGCAGAAGCGGTGAGACCGGTGTGTGCATGTTCGCGTTTACCTGTGCGAAGGCTAATGGCACGCATCTTGGCACCTGCATCGATCGCTTCTACTTCGGTAGCTGCTGCAAGATTGACGACGAGCCGGACATCTTCCCGCAGGACAATAGCATCGACGACGGTCCGTCGCCACCAAGGCCGTTCATCACGACCCACAGGCCTATCGGGAGCAGCGGCATACCGGAGTACTTCGCGAGGCCCAAGCCGACCGATGAAAAGAAACCAGTCGTGGCTTCGCAAATCACGGCAAGTAGACGATCGCTAATGAAGCAGCGAGTCGGCTTAGCACGTTTCGCCATGCGTCAGTAGAAATGAGCGTGTGTGACAGCTTGAAGTTCCTAGAGACGCGACAGTTCGATGGGATCGAAGTAACGTCCTTCGCAATTATTACTCTGTCAAATCAACCGCAGCGAACTTGGTATTCCATAAAGCAGATGTGTACTGATAAAAAAATGACTCAAGTTTTTTTTTATTTAAGATAGTACGTGATTACGGTAATTTCATTTCATCTCTCGTAAATTTTAATTTTAGGAAAAGAAATCAGTTTTTTCACAGCAGTAAGTATAATGGTAAAAAGTGAAGTAGCTTGGATTATGATATGCGAGAAAGAACGAGACAAGATTTTTTCTTTCAGATATGTTATAATAACTTTCTCTGCGTGAGATCATCGAGAAGTAGGCACAGTAACTCGCGTGATCTCACAATTGATTTATGGATTAAAGAAAGAAAGTTGCTCGTTAAAGCTTAATGATCAGCATGTAATGTGTGTAAGAATATAACCCGCGGAAATCTTGCAATTTTTTGAATACACATTTCGTGAACTGGTATATTAAACCAAATCTGGCCGAATAAAAATGTTTATTTTTATTAACGTTCAAAATTCATATATATGATAATCTTTATTTAAATAATGTATTTTCTAATAATATATGCCGCATTCTGTATCACAATACATAAAATTTTAATTTCCTTTATAGAAAACGATTGCAAATGGATTAATTTTTTATTTAATAAATTAATTAAAAATAATTTAATTCTATTAGACCACCTTGCTTTTAGAAGATTAATTTACGAATCATATTGCGTCTACATTAATAATTAATTTCATAATTTCATAATTTTATAGACAACGTCTGCATTCTTGAATACGCAAAGCACGCTAACTTCGGCAAGTACGATGAGAGACACCACGAAATTCGTGACAAAGAAGCCAACGATCACGACGATAGAAACGACCACGCAGACTACTCGCCTCTCGACATTCCAAACCGTGCAAAACGCTGCCGGACCTAGCACGGAAGCCTTGTTGAAGAAAACCAACAGTACTGTAAATATTCTGTCAAGTATATCACCAAGTACACCGAGACAACCTACGAAACCGTCCACTTTGGCCTATACCTTACGACCCAGCACCGTAAATCTAACAAAACTGACGACCATCACGACATCTTCGAAAACGACTACGAAGAAACCTGTTGTTGTTTCCACGACAACAGCGCAGAGACCAACAGTGCAGACATCCCAGAAACCACTTTCCTCGACTACTCGTAGGCCGATTATTCAATACGAATCGACCACGACTACGATAAAGAACGTGCTCGCGACCACCACGCAAAAAGTGGTGCCTTCGACGAGATTCCCACCGAGAAATACAACGTCGGTCAAACCGTTGACTCAGACGTCCACGAGAAAGCCTAGCACTAAGAGGCCTAGCACTGTTACCACCACTGTGACATCGAAACGTCCAGTGGTGACTACGAAGAAACCCAGTACATTGACGAAGAGACCGTCAACCTCTTCGAAGCCTCTCACGAATTCCAGCTTTGGCACGACTTTGCCGATAACGACCAGGCCTTACTCAACCTCCGGATCGTTCAGCAGCATTGGATCTTCCAGCATAGTCAATCGAGCAACGGAGAGTACTTTAGCCTCCACTGGGATTAGACCGTCGACTGCAACGACGGCAGTTACGAGCTCGAGCAGTCAGAAGACCACCATTACGACGAAGAGTCCGGATCAAAAAGTGTCTATCACAAAAACAACGACACCGAAGACAACCTCGAAAACAACAACGAAGCCATCGACGATCAGGACAACCACCGCTAGATCGACAACGGCTAGAACAACGATCACGAAATCGACCACGACCAAACCATCGTCGTTGACCACGACGAGATTGAAACCCACTAAGATCACTAGTACTACAACGAAGACCACCAAACCCGAATACACCACCATCACGACAACCACGGAGAGAACGAGACCGTTGACGTCAACTGTCAGTTCAACGATTGAAGTTACGAAACCAAAACCCAGCACTACAAAACCAACTCCTTTGACGAAGGTTCCTGTAAACACGTCCAGCATTGTGGAGGTCACCACAAGTATCTCGAGTTCGATATCCACGTTTACCGTTAGAAACGAGAGCACCTCGACCCACGTACCTCCTACGAAGGGTCAGAATGTTAATCACACCCTTGAGGAGATCCCGTTGACTACATATTCGCCCGGACTAGTGACGTGGAGCTCCAACTCCGATGAAGTTTCGACTAAGGCGTCCAACGAAACGTCTTCGTCAACGTCAACTTCAACGGTAGCTACATCATCAGGTGAATAAAATATTATCAAATTTCTTTCTTATCTTCTATATCAGAATATTATAAATCACTTGTAATTGCATGATCAAAATATCTCCTTTTACCTATAATATTAAATTAATTGTGATATTAATCAAAACATGTTAATTTTTTGAACGTTGGTTCTCACCACATTGAAAGCAAGAAAATCTTGAACTTTTACCTATTAATATCATCGATTTGAAACGAGAAGCGAAAGCAAAAGACATTGAATTTATACAGTAATCAAAGGCTTTCGCTATTCCCAGCGTTTTGATGCATGCTGCGTGCCGTACTATACAACGTGGATCGCTATCATGATTTCCTACTGACGGCAAGGGCGTCACGTTACACAGTGAATGTCTGTTTTCTTCGATTTCACTGGTTAGCATACAGACGCAAAACGAATAAGATTGCTAATCACGTTTCTGATAATTCCTCGAAGGGTCGATCGATGCCGACGAAGGGAGCATATGTAAAATTCGCGACTGGCTATTGCCAAGTGTAAAGGGACTTAATATTCTATGAAAATTCATTACTGAGTAAAGAGAATCAAATATAAACTAAAATATCTTTTTCGAGTATTATAAGGCTTAAAAAATCAAGATTAGATTCACAATTTATGAAGTTTACTTTAAATATAAAATTATATCTATAAAGAACTTTTCCTCTTTATATTTATCCGTTCTTTGTCTTTTGCAATATTTATTTATAAGTTTACATCTTTCTACTTCAAATTTTAATATCACAAGCTCAAGATTCAAAAAAATATTTTTCTCTGTTTCCAAAGTATACGTTTATTTTAATAAGATTTTAATAAGATTCGACACAATTATTTCGATTGAATATCGCACGCCAAGCTCAAGAGGACGTCACACCTCTTTAACCGATATAATTGCATCTTGATTACATGCAGCGCAAAAGTGAGTTACGCCGAGCTACATAAGTAGGTAATCCGTCCCGCGTTATGCGTTCATTCGATAAACGGTTACTTTATTCTACCCGAATGAGCCGAACTTATCGTGGATGCGAGCCAAGGTCGATCCTCGGACCCTAGAAAAGATAATCGTGTAGAGACGCTATGTGGATCATGCCGTTGCTCCAATAGCACTTTGATACATCGTCGGGATAGAATGTCGTAACGGTTCACAAACCGGCCATCCCGTGCTCTCCGCCGACGCAATTACGGTCATCTCTCCCTTACTAGTATCTGTATCTCTCTCGTCGTGCGAGCAAGACTTCGAATTATCTTCTAATAACTATGATTCGCCTTGCAAGAGAAAAAAACGGAACGAATTCGCTCTTCTCTCGACCACCCTAAATTAAAGAATCAAACCGGTTCGCGCAGCCTCGAATCAGCATAGTATATCTGTCCGAAACTAACTAACATTTTCTGAGAAACGCAGGTCCACGAACTTGAAGAAAAAATTCCTCCTGATTTTTTTCTTTTCGATACATGTTCAATGGAGTATCCTGCTGGATGAGCTTTTATCTAATTTTGATAATTTAGTGCGTCTCGAATTATACCTAATGCGATAAGTTATCTATTTCTGGTTCCCCTAGAAAAGAATCATATAGCTCTCTAGTTCATAAATTTGCAATTAATTAAAATTTAATTAGGTTTGGTACTTATTACGTTTGTTCGCTTCGCAGAGCAAGCGGAAACTGATTGGTCGCCGATAACGACTCCGGATGGTTGGATAATGATTCAGTCGCCCACCACCGAAATGTTACCGCAGACTCAAGAGTCGACGACCGAACCGGTTGCGGAATCCACTATACAGTCTTTGACTTCTGGTAAGGCATATTAATTGTAGCCTTTGGAAATACTCCGTGGTTCGCGAGTTTGCTCGCGATCGAAGAACTTTCAAGAGTTGGCAAACGTAATCATGCAAACGAGCAACAACTTGGAAGGAATATCTTCTAAGAAGTCAGAAATACAGAAATCAACTGGAAGTTCTCAATAAATTTGAGTGTTGCAACAACACTCTGTTTCAGAATTACCTTCTATTGAAGCTCCTTGCAATAGTACGCAATTTCAATTTTATACGAATTTTTTATAGACAATTATATGGCTCTTTTTTTTCACGCGGGATGTAACAATGCTTGATTAACTGGTATCCTTCGGATTTTCAGCCAAACCGATAACAGAGAGCACTATTATCCCCGACACCACGAAGACACCGACGGTGATCACTTTGCTGTCAACGATCGCCAGCGTTACGATCGACTCGGAACTTCCGGTACCGATGGAGACCCTCAATATGTCAGACTACAAACAAGGTTAATACCTAAATGCTGAATGAATTACGATGTAATATTACGACGAGAGCATGCATGAATAAAAGAAATTAGATCGTTCCCAGACTGGGTGACCGGAACGAATCGTTACTCGACTAGAACTAGTCTCGGGACTAAAAACAAAATGACGGGTGAAATGCGGAACTGGATTCGGGTCACTGTCGGAATTCACGTTATTCCATTCGATTTTGCTCCAGTTAAACCCTGAAGATGAATCCAACTTCTGGTCGCACAGTGACGCTTTCATCTTCTCCTCGCGGTAATATTAAACTTCTCGTTTGATAAGGCAGACATCTCTATTAATTCTAACGCATAAATCGCACGTGTACATTTTACAAGCAAAAGACAATTGTGACAAGAAAAAGATTTATGTCCGTGTAGAATTTCGCGATTTTCTTGCAAAATATTTTCACATCGTAGCATCTGTTAAGTTTTTGCAATTTTCAGTTATCGAGACAGTTCCACAGTCTTCTGCATATTTTTTATAATTCAAATAAATCAGTTTTTAAAACCACTACATAATTTTCTGTTTATATTTTGTTTAAATAATTATAATCGCATTGCGTGTAATTACTTATACAATATAGCAAACACTATAATTTGTGGATTAACGACCACTTTATATGCCATTTATCTAAGCTGCCATCATCTAAGTTGCATAATCAATAGTACAACTTAATTTAAATAATGGTAGTATAGTCATAAATTTTAACGCCAGTAATTTCCCGTAATCAATACGATGCGCGCCGAGTGTCGCACACAAGTAAGCAGGCAATATTGCCGATACAAAAATTCTAATTTCGCCTACGGGCAGACAAAAGAATTATGTGAGCGACGCATCCGCGCAACGGTACCGGTTCATCCAGTCGAACAAACGCAGCGCGTCCGTTCTCCAACATGACCGTCCAATTGGGTCTGATGCGATTTAACTCGACAATGTTTATTCTTGCAGTGTGCGGACGAAGACTGTTCCCGGAGCCCAAGATCGTCGGTGGTGATCGAAGCTCCTTCGGAAAATGGCCTTGGCAGGTGAGCATCTCGAAATAATTATTGAAATTGCTATTTACGCAGATCGCTCTACCGATTCGTTTGCCACGTTGTCATTTTATTTGCTCACCTTGTCTAAATAGTTGTGTATAATTCAGTTCTTTTGGAATGCTTATCCGTCACGTTTTATTTAAATCAAATCTGATGATTACTCGAAAGTAATTAATGTTAGATCTGTTATTTAAAAAATTATTTAAAAAGAAGTATAGTAAAATTTGATTTTTGTAAGACTATCACAAATAAATATTCATCGTCACTCAATCCATCGTCTGGTGAACGAACACAATTGCAATAATAAATCATTTTAAATATGAAGGAAGACATGATCGTGATGACGGTCTTTCGCGTTAACAACAACAGTCATTTTATTACGTACTAGAGATAAATGTGTACATAGATCGATCGTCGTACGATGCGACGTACGGCGATTGATTTACTCACGTGGCGGATTTCCTTGCAGATCTCATTACGTCAATGGCGATCGCAGACGTATCTACACAAATGCGGCGCGGCATTGTTGAACGAGAACTGGGCTATTACCGCGGCGCACTGCGTCGAAAGGTAAGTGTTTGCCATGGCTGCGACACTCATAATCAAGTTGTCTCCCACTCGCACGATCATCTCAACCATCCGCGGCGTTCTTTAACGTTGCAGCGCGAAGCCTGTCCTCGTGACAACACGCACGCGCTTATGATATTCCCGCGCGATGAAAAGAGATTATCTCCGCCTGTATAAATATTTTCTCATCTGGTACTTATATTTGAGAAGCGACCAAGACCATCGCGTGGATGGTCGTCCTAAAGCATCATAAGAAGTCTCACACATGTTACGCTTAGAAAAATCAGAATTCCGAGATTTTTTTCTGAATTTTACTATACATATTGTCATCATTGCGTTCCAATGTCTTTTCCAGAATTCTTTTTAACTTTTTCAACATTCTTAGTGATACAGTATTATTTGAGACGTAACGGAAGATTGTCACTAACCAAATAATTTCGTTTCCGGATGGAAGTTATAAAACACTGATATATATTTTGCAGCGTTCCACCTAGCGACCTATTGTTAAGGATCGGTGAACACGATTTGTCGAACGAAGACGAGCCGTACGGATATCAAGAAAGAAGAGTGCAAATTGTGGCGAGCCACCCACAATTTGATGCGCGTACCTTCGAGTACGATCTCGCTCTATTGCGATTCTACGAGCCTCTTCTGCCGTTCCAACCAAACGTCCTCCCGATTTGCCTGCCCGACGACGATGAAACCTATGTTGGTCGTACCGCCTACGTTACTGGCTGGGGCAGACTTTACGACGGTATTAAAATGCAGATTCATAATTAATTAAAAAATCAACAACAACACGACTTGCATTTTATATTCTCGTAATTAATCCGACACGCGTTAATCAGTACTAAAATTGTAAATTTGTATTTTAACGAAGTACTGTTATTAAAATTATCGCGCGGATGCTTGAGAATATTTTTATCTATCTTTGCAGAGGGGCCACTACCATCCGTGTTACAGGAGGTTGCAGTACCGGTTATCAATAATAGCGTATGCGAAGCGATGTACAGAAACGCGGGTTACATCGAGCACATTCCGCACATATTTATCTGCGCCGGTTGGAGAAACGGCGGGTTCGACTCTTGCGAGGTCAGTTCTCGTTTCTTGCTTTAACTCAAGTTTAAATCAAGAAAATCGTCGTTTGCTCTCTCGTTTAAATTCTTCAAGATTTAGAATAACAATTAAATATATAAGTACCGCTACTGGGATATAATTTATATCTTTCGATACGGGTAATTCTGACGGTCACATATTGCTATGTCAAAGTAAAAATATTTTTAAATATCTCTAGAAGATTGAAACGCCTTTTACAACTTTAAACATTATAGTTATCTAGGAAAATTCATTCCTTAATATATTCTAACTTGTCACTTTTTCTACTCTCGTCAGGGTGATAGCGGCGGTCCGATGGTCATCCAAAGAGCGCGAGACAAGCGATGGGTCCTTGCCGGGATCATAAGCTGGGGAATCGGTTGCGCCGCGCCCAATCAGCCCGGCGTTTACACGCGTATCTCGGAGTTTCGCGAATGGATCAATCAGATCCTGCAATTCTGAGCGTCTCGGCGAAAGAGCGTGCTCCGCGCTCTCGAAATTCGCGCTTTCACGTCGCGTCGACTCCTACGGACGTTTGTAACGATCGCCAAGCGGACGGACGGCACCATCTGCCGGAGCTGTGAGCCAAGTGCAATTTAGTAGAAAAAAAAGTAAAAGATCCCAGTGGAGATTCACAGAGATCTGTGCGCGTGTTGCGAACTTGGACGACATGTGGAGCCACTGATTCGATTTTCGCGTGTGAAGCCGCGACGTATGTACACGCGATTTCCCGGGCAAATCCAACGTGTTACAACGATACGGTAAAGGGACAAAGGGCGGTATCGATTTGCGATATCGGAGACACTGTGAATATCAGTGATAAGCACATCGGATTTTGTGACAAAGGATCGAAATTTTCGATCAACTTAGATTCATTTATCTAGAATCGATTTAAAATAGTTAATTCCAGGACACGGAATCACTTTTTTAAAGTAAATTATTCTTTTAGATATCTACAAATGCTGTTCAGCACTAATTTTTCAAGTTTTTTCCTTTTACCAAACATATATTGATTATTTTTTTCTAATGTGTTCAGTTTGCTCAAAGCCTGATTTATTAAATGCATATAAAAATGCATGTGATTACGCTAATTGATAAATTTAAAAAAAAAATATTGGATATGTTACTAATTTACTAATAGACAAAAATACGCTAATTTGTGTGTTGAATCTCAGCTAGAACTCAATCACACACACATTTTCAAAAATAATTTTTAATTTTGAATTCAAATAAATTAAAATAATGTAAATTAAAACACAATATATTTAATATAATATATAAGTTTAGCAAAAAAATTATTTAATTCGTTTTGGATCGAAATTTGTATTCGATGTCTACAAAAATGTTTATAATTTAATATTTTATATATCTTCTCATCTACCATTTAAAACGATCGTGAAGCTACTGTGATTCAGAATTTACATATTTTCTAAATATGTATTTATACATAAAAAAATATAGTAGAATAAGTTTTTGAATCACAGTCTGCGCAAAAAGTGTTTACGTAAATTTCGTTACGCGGTATAACAAACATTCATTGGTATCACCAACAAATATTTGAAGCAAAAACATAAACACCGTCATGGATATATGACTTGTAAAAATCCATATTTTTTATAGCTTTGCCTATCGATGAAAAAAAAGTATTAAACTCTTCGTCAGCTCTCTGAATATTTTTTAAACGCAAAAATTGCGTGATTTACGTAGATCCGTCGTATACAGGAATATTTATCTGTTTATATATTTATAAATTCAAATATGCAATATAGCCGAGCGAAGAATGAACAAGTATTCCAAAATCACTGCATCAAAGAAAGATCGTTTTCAAACTTCTCAGATTACATAAAATTGTCGATTATTTTAAAAGATAAGAACCGGAAAAATAAATAATGTATATGCATGACGTATATGCATCATTTGTTAATTGTTTATGAAACAATTTATTACCAATATCTTGCGATAATCGAATTGCAACTGTTAGTGGGATTTAATATTCCATGTCGACGTCAATCACACGCAGTTCCGCTCGTTATAAATTTACATAGTAATTCCCAGCAAATTCCAATGGGAATTTCAGTACATTCTTCGAAACTCATGAATATCCAGTTATCCCGACTGATCCTGGGAAGAAACGAAGGGAAATCGCCCGACATAAATTCTCTTCCTTTCTATGACGAGCACTTCACTTCGTACTTACTTGAGTATAGTCTCAAGTGAAAACGAATTGACGATGCGCTAATGGTAAAAACGTGCTCATTAATCTCAATGGCTCGTTTGTGAGCCGTCTCAAGCGACTCATTACATACATTTTAATCTAGAGAATAGATTTTACGTAAATTGTGAGTTGAATTAGATCGAATCGAAAGAATCAGGCAGACAAATGCACTAGTACCGTATACATGTATCGAGATACATGTAACGAGATATTATTTAATTTAATTTATAAAAAAAATCTATATCTATAAATGCATAGACTATATTATATATACATATGTACGACACGCGTGCGTGTATGCGTGTAATTTAATCGCGCACGTGTTTCAGATGGGATTTATGAAGAGATATTTTCTGTACCGTGCTTTTTAACGACATTTGCCAGAGCGCCTTAATTATTCAGAAACACCTCGCGCGATTATGTCAACAATTTAATGCGGTTCTACATGTCCGATTACTCAAATATACATATCACGTGCCGCTTTCTCGTTATCGCGTAGGGAACGTTTCCTGTCAATTAAAGGTATCGACAAATGTCGCAGCGCAAGGTAACTGCAATCGGAATAACGTGATTCCGTTGTAAGTATATGTAAATATTCGGTATCGATCGGATTGTGACGTGGTACGCGCGGCAGGTTCTAACACCTACACCTACTTTTCATCTCTCGTCGCCACATCCGTTTCTGTACTTATCAAACGTGCATTAAAAAGCGATCGTTCGCATCCACAAAAAAAAAACTACCGAGCTGTCTGGATCATGCCCCTACCATCCCCTTTTTTCCCTTTCCTTTGTGTGTGCCGCGTGCATTATATTCCTCTCTTACGTCATCGTCAGGGCATCCCCACGTTGCATTACGAAGCATCGTGTGGGCGTTTGATATTTGCGCACTGAGGAAGCTCATGATTTTGAATTTCGCCCACGCGTCGCAAACGCCCACCTCTCGAGCTGAGCGCCAGCGCAAACGGGTGACAGACGAGCGGTAGAATTTTGCAAAATTGAGTTCGCCGCTTTAATGAGCGGCACTCGATAAACTTCTAACGAGGTGAGATCGCAATACGACGCCGCGAGTGTTTGACACGAAAACATTGTTAAAATTTATATCATACGAAAATTCGAGATATATTCGTTTACCTCCCTTTCGCGTTGAGATACAACGACACTTTTCCTTATTAGATTGCCGCAAAGCTCTGTCAAAACAAGAACAATCGAAGCCAAAATTAAAATTTACAACCAGGATGAATTAAATTTATATATATTCTATAGATATAAAAATGCTATAGTATACTAGATCAAGCTACGAATAAAAACTACGTCTACACAGAAAGCAAGAATTTTCACATAACAGATTCGATTTACATCTTTATTCGTAGTGTTTCTCACGCTGGATATTAGAGTGCTAAATGCATGCATCGCACGGAGTTAGCATCCTTGGCGGCCATAAATTTTCCCCGATGCTAACGGTATATTGCCAATCGTTAAAGATCGAGCTCGTGTCCGGAAGAATTGGCTTTCCTCCTCGTGTAAAAGATATCGGCCGATCAGCCGTGAAGCATTTCTCAGATACAGTTAAAATTCGATAGACGTAGTCTCAGAGCATCTAACCGCTATCGTTGCTTTGTCTAGACAAATGCATTTAGCAAGCAATTATGGCAGATACCGATTACGATATACATTCATACGATATACATTGTCGTTGCAGCTGTATTTCACACGTCGCTGGTGCCCGTATGATTGTAAAACCGATTTCAAATTAAATGTAGCAGAACAAACTCGAATTCCTCGATTCGTGAGATTCGTTCGCGAGAATGTAAATATACGAGAGAAAATATTGCAGCGGCGAAAATCTGTTCCAAGCACTTTATCCCATGGAGCTAAAAATGAAAGTACACAAGGTAAAAAAACCTTTTTTCGTCATTTTCTTATTGAGAGTATATGTCAACAAAGTTAAAATGCCATAAAATATGTATTCGAATATCATTCTAGTGGATAAATGTACGAAGAAAAATTCTTTCATAATTACAAACGAAAATACGCGATATTATTCAAACCCATCCGTCTTTTCATTGCACATAACATTATCACGTAGAAAGATGTCGTAGAGAGTTAAATTGTCATTGCAAATTGTAAAAAGAACTTGCTCTTTCAAGTGGGCTTTAATAAAGTTTTAATTCGCAAGTTTGCTGTAAGGAAAACTCGTTACACATAATTTATAGAAAAGTAAAAAGTGCATAGTATTTCTAGTACACTCTGTATATATAGCTACGATGGACGTGAAATAACAAAGCGAACAAGCAGCATTAATGAGAATCGAGATTGAAAAGCTTGTTGTTTTACTCAACGTAAATAGAAGAGAAAGAGAGAGAAAAGTTCCATTGTAACTCTCGGGCTCTAAGTAAAAAGAGATTCTTTCTATATTATTTTTCTCACTATATTTGCCATAGTAATGAGTTTCAGACAGAGTTATGACCGATTTACCAGTGCATTTCTCTATGCAAAAAGCTCGATTTATTTATAAATATCCATAGGTAAGACCTTTCGCGTCTGTTAATTAATATCGATCATTAATCGTAACTGCCACAGAGAAAAATTGCTGACAAAAATATTTTTTCTACTTTATAATAATATGTTTTAATTTGTTAATTAAAATTGCTATTTAAATAATAATTGCTATGAAATTTTTTGAAATTTCTAATTAAAGCAAAATGTAACAATCAAAAAATTTTATAATTGTGAAAGAAACTTTCGTTTTATTATTTGCCATTATGAGAAATTTCCACAGGAATAAATAACCACGCTTTGTATTCTCCGATCAAAAGTACGAAATGGCCTAGATGCCTAAAAAGAAAAAGAGAGAATCGCGGTTTTTAAATTATATATCTAATGAGGTAAACACACAATCGTCGCAAAGCGATTTATACGGCAGTACAATTCTTTCGGAATGTGACTCTCTCTCTTCTCCTTTCTCGTGATTTCATTGGCACGCTCTGACTCGAGTGCACGGCAAAATAAGCTTGTTAAAATAATGTTTGCGCTCGAAAGCGATTTATGTGAACAACTTTTTCCCGGCACAATGTCGTAATGGAATCCAACCATCCATGTTGCTCGAGACTGATGGATGCGTCAATTGAATTTATTAGATTTTTTTTTTTCGAGATCCGTTATATACGTCTTACACGCGCGCAAAGAAAATGTCAATTTCTAAACACATTGCTGTAAGTTTCTTTTGACATCCAATTTTTTTATTCGCAATGATGAGTGTTCCGCGTTTATCAATCTACACTTATTACTTTTCTCTCCACGCTCTCTCATGTCCTTTTTAGATTCGGAGCTTCCGGAATGCTGCCTTCATTCCATCTATATACTTGTCACTTCCGGCTTTAATGCTCCTAATTATTGGTTCTACACGGAAAATAAGTAAATTATTATGATTACTGAATTAACTAACGCGCACTGATATCGCCAGATATGCCTAGTCACACAACACAACCTAAACTGGTGAATAGCTTCGAATCTATTAGATAAGCGTTTGATATTGGCATTGAAAAATTGAAGAGTAAATATCTAAAAATATAGGTCAATGTCTGTAATAATTAAACTTGGCATTAACAAACTTGCTTTAAAAAATAAGGAATCTCCGGGATTATCTCCGGGTGTTACTAAACTACAACGTTCTTGAAAAGCTCTTCGAACTTATCTTCATCTTACTTTGTTACTTTTAATTTTGGATACGTTAAACATCTTTCAAACTTGTGATAAAAGATACTTGTTATAATTACATGGGTACTTGAAATCTCTTTTAGAATGTTCACAAGAAACGTTAGCGCTTGTTAATATAATAACATACTACAGGCTATATTCCTCGATATTCCTACAAATTTATCGGTGAATTTATTCGGAAATACCGTGATGAATAAATTAAAGGAGCTTTTTGCATATACATATTAATATTAGTACATTATTGTACATAAATTAATATTAGTACTGCGTCATAGGCGAGGTCAAACAATGCTTGTCAACATTGTCGGGGGTCG